GGGGAGCCTGAGTGGCTCCGTCCATTGAGCATCTGACTTCAGCCCGGGTCATGGTTTTGCGGTTCGTGCGTTTGAGCCCTGTGTTGGGCTTTGTGCTGACAGTGTGAAGCCTGCTTTGGATTCTCTGCCTCCCTTTCTCTCTGACCCTCCCTTGCTTATGCACACTCTGTCTCAAAAATAAATATTTAAAAAAATTAAAAATAAAAAAAGGGACATGACTCTCCACTGACAGCTTTCAAGATGGGGGTAGAAAATCACGAGGCCCAGAAAGGAATGCAGTCCTACCAATGCCTTGATTTTAACCCAGGGAGACCCATGTTATTAGACTACTCATCTATAGACCTGTAGGATAATACATTTTGCATTGTTTTAAGTCACTAAGTTTGTGGTCATTTGTTATGGCAGTAGTAGAAAACTAATAAAACTAACTACAAATAAGTACCACCTCAACTCCTTCTCTGAAACTGTTCTAAAGCTTAACAATAACTTCATAATCAACAATTTCAGTAAATTACTTTCAACACTCACTTAAAAAATTTTTTTTAATGTTTATTTTTATTTTTGAGGGACAGAGAGAGACAGCATGAGTGGCAGAGGGGCAGAGGAGAGAGACCCAGAATATGAAGTAGGCTCCAGGCTCTGAGCTGTCAGCACAGAGCCTGACGCGGGGCTCAAACTCACGAGCTGTGAGATCATGGTCTGAGCTGAAGTCAGACGCTCAACTGACTGAGCCACCCAGGTGCCCCTCAAAACTCATCTTAATAGGACTTTTTTGCTGCACCATTATTAACACTCACTTCCTGAAGATTTCTCCTTTCTTAGCTCAAGATACTAATATTTCCTGGTTCTCTGATGTCCTAGATTACTGTTTTCTAGCCTGCTTACCTGGCTTTTCTTCTTCTGTTTAATCCGTTATTTCTTTTTCAAATAAGGACTACTGGATACCAACAATAATGATATCATCACTGTCCCCACTCAATAATTCTTTATCAAATATCTAATCAATTACCTCATGACTTATAAGGTCCACACATTCATATGACTGGTTATACATCTTTTACATTTCTTTTAATTTCTAAATCCCTCTTCCATACCCCTACTTCTCCCTTAAAATTATTTTGTACTAGAAACTAGATTGCCTTGTAGTTTCTCAGAGTTTAGATTTTACTAATGGCATTCCCCTGGTATAATTTAAAATGTTCCCCTCTCCTTTGTATTTCCTGTAATGGGTAGTTAGATCTATGGTAACTATTAAATATTGATGTTCCCCAAGGAAATGTATTTCTCCTACTTCAATTCATACCTGTAAGTTTCCAAATCTTCTCTTTCTGAACACCAAAGCCACACTGTTAACTATGTATTCGTTTATTCATTGTGTATGGCCCATAGAGACCTCAAATTCAACATGCCACATAATTACTGTATAAATCCCCTCCCATAAAATCTGCTACTTATGCTCCATTCATGTAAGGCTGAGCACGGGCATTTACATCAAATCTTATCTCATTCACCCCTTATATTCAGCCCATAATTCCTTTAGGTTCAAACTCCTGTTTTCCCAATGCTCCCTCATTCTTTTCTTTTTTTTTTTTAATGTTTATTTATTTTTGAGAGAGAAAGAGCGTGAGTGAGGGAGGGGCACAGAGCGAGGGAGACACAGAATCTGAAGCAGGATCCAGGCCCCGAGCTGTCAGCACAGAGCCTGATGAGGGGCTTGAACTCACGAACCATGAGGTCATGACCTGATCCGAAGTCAGACGCTTAACCAACTGAGCCACCCAGGTGCCCCTCAATGCTCCCTCATTCTTTAACACTTCATCTATCTTAACAGATTTTCCAGTTTTCAGAGCCCTCATGTCCTTTACAGAAAAAGTTTATCAACATCTTGTTTAAAGAGCCAGATAGTAAATATTTTGGGTTTTGCAGGCAATAGTTTCTCTGCTATACCTAATCAACCCTGGTCATAGTATGAAAACAACTGTGGCCAAAATGTAAATAAGTGGGCGTGGCTGTGTTCCAAAAAAACTACCTCCAAAAATATTGGCCTTTGGGCCATAGTCTGCCAACCACTCCCTCAATACTGATATCAAAATTTTTAAGTTTATTTATTTTGAGAGAGAGAGAGAGAGGAAATTCCAAGCAGGCTCTATACTCTCAATGTGAAGCCTGACGCCGAGCTTGATCCCACAAACAGTGAGATCATAACCTGAGCTGAAATCAAGAGCTGGATGCTTAAACAACTGAGCCACCCAGGCGCCTGGATATCAAAATATTTTAAAAGGCAAATCGAATCGATTTCCCTACCCAATCTGTGAGATCTCATTCTCTAAAAGCCACGTAAGCAGGCTAGAAAGCTTTCTATTTCCTACAGAATAAAATCCATGCCTCCGGATAAAGTCCTTCATGATCTGGCCCTTGATACCCTCTAGCTTCAGAAAAAAGGAATTTCTTTTCAAATGGAAAGACTCCATTACTTTTCTTTTTAAGGTTCATTTTTTTTCTTTTTAATTGAGGTATAATTGACACATAATGTCATACAGTTGACCCTTGAACAACACAGGCACCAACCTCCTGAGCAGTTGGAAATCTGTGTATAACTTTTAATTCTCCCAAATTTTAACTACTAACAGCTTACCACTGACAGAGCCATAACAATAAGCCCTGTAACGCATATTTTATGAATGTATTACATTCTGTATTCTTATAATAAAGTAAGCTAGAGAAAAAAAGTTCAAAAAAATCATAAGAAAAATACATTTACAATACTGTCTGTATTTATTAAAAAAAAATCCATGTATAATTGGACCCACACAGTTCAAACCCATGTTGTTCAAGGGTCAACTGTATTAGCTTCAGGTATACAACATCATGATTCAATTATATATATCGCAAAATGATGATAAGAAGTCAGGTCAACATCAGTCACCATATATAAATTTTTTTTCTTATAATGAGAACTCTTAAGATCTAATCTCTTAACAACTTCCAAATATGCAATACAGTATTATCAACTAGTCACTATGCTGTACATTATATCCCCATGACTTATTTATTTTGTACTTGGGAGTTATATTTTATACCTTGTGACCCTCCACCCACTTGGCCCATACCCCACCTCTGGCAACCACCAATCTGTTCTCTGTATCTATGAGCTAATTTTCCTTTTTTTTTTAGATTCCAAGTAAGGGTCAACTATTCTACCACCAACTCTTTACATTCTTACCTTCATCTTTAAGCATTCCAATCACATCCTCTATGAGGGTCACCACTTCCTTGCTGTTCTTTGGATGTTGTAAATTCACCCAAGTCCTAATGTCTTCAGGGAGTATTGTCAGAAATTGTTCCAGCACCAACAGCTCTAGGATTTGTTGCTTTGTATGAACTTCTGGTTTCAGCCACTGAAGACAGAGCTTCCAGAGTTGGCACAGGGCTTCATGAGGCCCAGACACATCCAAATACTGGAAATGTCTGAACTTTTGACGAGAGGCCTCAGAGTCACATGTTTCCATGACTGGGATGGATTCCTGCTGCCAAGACACATGTGCTTTCAGGGCCTCACTTTGTTCATGTAGAGTCAGGCTTTGAGGTTTTGCCATAGCCATCAACTTGTTCAGAGGCTGCATCTTCCCAGACAGAACTCCCACTATAGTTCCAATTTGTTTTACTAGAGGATTCTAATAATTCTTGGGTGAAGCACATGTGTACTATATTTATGCAATGTTTTGAACCAAGTTCTATCTCAATAAGAGAAAAGTTCCAGGAGCTTCAGATACAAAGCCAACATTCTGGTACCTGAGGAAATGAAAAAAAGATACCAATATGACCTATATTTAACGAACATGTTTTAGCATATTGCCAAAAGATAAAATACAAGTAATATTCTTATAATTGTCCAATAAGATAAATATTATGGATTATACTTCCATTCTTGTTTCTTTCTTATAACGAGAAAATATACTGTCCCTTCCCAATCACCCACCAAAAAGAACATAAACACAGACATCACACAAAAAGTGATAAATGAGACAGTCCTTAAAAAAAAAAAAAAAAACCTCACAATTTAATTGCAATTAGGTTTCTCCTGTATCAGGTGACAACACATTTTTGCTTTAAAATTAAGCAAAACAAATATTCAGAAGGATATTTAGGTTATTAAGGCTTTATACTAGAAAAGCCTAAAAAATCTCTTTCTAAATTCTCAATAAATATCAGTAAGGTTATATAAAATGAGTAGAACAGAACACACCACTAGAACTTAAGAAACAATTATTTAAAAAATAAGAGAATAGGGGCGCCTGGGTGGCTCAGTTGGTTAAGAGTCCGACTTCGGCTCAGGTCATGATCTCATGGTTTGTGGGTTCGAGCCCCACATCAGGCTCCGTGCTGACAGCTCAAAGCCCGGAGCCTACTTCAGATTCTGCGTCTCCTTCTCTCTGCCCCTCCCCCACTCCTGCTCTCTCTCAATCTTTCAAAAAAAAAATTAATTAATTTTAAAAAAAGGAGAATAAATAGGAGTCATTCATTGTTGGGGGTAAGTCAAAAAGTACATTCCAATGATACAAATACAGACACACAGATCAATGGATAGAAAGCCAAGGAACAAATCTACACCTCTATGTTCAATTCACCTATGAGAAAGCAGGCAAGAATACACAATGGGGAAAGGATAGTCTTTTCAATAAGTGGTGTTGGAAAACTGGACAGCTACATGCAAAAGAATGAAACTGGACAACTTTCTTACATCATATAAAAAAATAAACTCAACATGGATTAAAGATCTAAATATGAGACCTGAAGCCATAAAACTCCCAAAAGAAACATAGGTAGTTAATCTTTTGGACATCAGTGTTAGCAATGTATTTATGAATATGTCTCCTTAGGCAAGAGAAACAAAAACAAAAATAAGCTACTGGGACTATAACAAAATAAAAAAGCTTTTGTACAGTAAAGGAAACCATCAACAAAATAAAAAAGCAACCTACTGAATGAGAGAACATATTTGAAAATGACATCACTGATAAAGGGTTAATATCCAAAATATATAAAGAAATTATACAATTCAACATACACATATACACACAAACACACAAATAATTCAATTAAAAAATAGGCAGAGAACCTAAACAGACATTTTCCCAGAAAAGATACACAGATGGCCAACAGGTACATGAAAAGATGCTCATCAGGAAATGCAAATTAAAACCACAAGGGGGTATCATTTCACACCTGTCAGAAAATGGCTAATATCAAAAAAACAAGAAATAACAAGTGTTGGTATGAGTGTAGAGAAAAGGGAACCTTATGCACTGCTGGTGGGAATGTCAATTGGTGCAATCACTGTGGAAAACAGTAAGGAGGTTCCTCAAAAAATTAAAAATAGAAATACCATATGATCCAGTAATTTCACTACTGGGTATTTAGCCAAAGAAAATGAAAACACTAATTTGAAAAGATATATGCACCCCTATGTTTACCGAATTATTTACAATAGCCAAGATATGGAAGCAACCCAAGCGTCCATCCATAGATGAATGGATAAAGAAGATGTAGTGTGTGTGTGTACATATGTGTGTATGTGTCTATATATGTATATACACATACACATATATATAAATGGAATATTACTTAGCCATAAAAGGAGGTGATTTTGCTATTTGCAACAACATGGATGGATCTAGAGGGTATTATGCTAAGTGAAATAAGTCAAACAAAAATGAATTCCTTATGACTTCACTTATATGTGGAATCTAAAAACCAAAACAAATGAACAAATAAACAAATCAAACAGACTCTTAAATATAGAGAACTGGTGGTTGCCAGAGTGGAGGTGGGTGGTGGGGGGGGGGGGGGGGGGGGGGGGGGGGGGGGGGGGGGGGATCAGCAAAATAAAGGGGATTAGGAAGTACAAACTTCCATTTTGAAATAAATAAGTCACGGAGATGAAAAGTACAGCACAGGGAATATAGGCAATAATATTGTAATAATGTATGGTGACAAACAGTGACTACACTTATTGTAGTGAGCATTTTAAGTACTATATGGAACTGTGGAATCAATATGTTATCCACCTGAAACTAATACAACATTGTAGGCCAATTTTACTTCAATTAAAAAAAGAGTGCATTCCCAGACTAAAATGATTAGAAGTTTTCACTTGTTAGGACTCATTATCGGCCAGTCTGCAATGTCCACCAGGGAAGTAATAGGCTCAGCTAAATATTTAGACTCACATGACTACCATGGGCCATATTTGGCACTAGTTGTTCAGAAGGTCTCTGGACAGAAAACACAGCTTGCTAGCCGAGTAACTGGCATTGTTCTTCAGTGGGAGTCCTCACAGAGTATAGCTCAAGTCAAGAGATCTACATAGGTTGTGCAGAAAGCACATTGACTTAAAGCCTTCCCACAAGAGCCAGAGTCTTTTGTAACAACTCTATGAGCACAGCACTCAGGGTTCCCCAAAGAACTTCCCCCATTATGAGAATCATCACATTCAGGGAAGTTCAGATACAGCTTTCTACCTGATTTACAATTCTCCCAGTCTGAATGCAATTGAACTTTCAGGGTTCATTTTTTTTTTAATATAATTTATTGTCAAATTGGTTTCCATACAACACCCAGTGCTCATCCCAACAAGTGCCCTCCTCCATGTCAGGGTTCATTTTTTACTATATACCTCTAAGCCAGTGGTTTTCAGGGGCAATTTGGTACCAGGGGAAATCTGACAATTCTGGAGACAGTTTTGGTTATCACAACTGGGGGCTCTTACTGGCATCGGGTCAGAGAAGCCCAGGGATCCTGCTAAACATCCTACAATGCGTAAGATGGTGCTCGATAACAAAGAATTATCCAGCCTAAAAGGTCACTAATTCCAAGGTAAAGAAATCCCTGCTATAGAAAATATATAGTGACAAAGAGTACATACTTTGGAGTCATACTGACAGGAGGTTAAATAGCAGCTGTACTAGTAACTACACGTATTAAGCAAATTAGTTAACCAAAACCTGAATTTTCTCAATTGTAACATGGATATAATAATATCTATCTGACTGAATTACAGTGATTAAAAGAACTCTCATCCACTTCTTGGAAGATAATAAACACTCGATACCCATTTTGTTGAGAGTTTTTATCATAAATGGATGTTGAATTTTGTCAAATGCTTTTTCTGCATCCACTGAAATCATATGATTTTTATTATTCATTTTCTCAATGTGATGTATCACACTGACTGATTTGCAGACATTGCAAATCATTTATCTGGTAAGAGATTAATATCCAAAGTATATCAGGAATTCATACAACTTTATAACAAAAGAAAATTAGACTTGAAAACAGGCAAAAGATTTGAACATTTTTCCAGAGAAGACACTTGAACATTTTTCCAAAGAAGACATACAGATGGCCAGCAGATACATGAAAAACGCTCAGCAGCATTAATCATCAGGTAAATGCAAATCAAAAGCACACTGAAGTATCACCCCACACATTTTGAAGGATTATTTCCAAAAAGAGAAGACATACCAAGTGTTAGTGAGGATGTGAAGAAAAGGAAACCCTTGTACATTGTTGGTGGCAGTGTCAATCGGTGAATCCACTGTGGAAAACAGTATGGACATTCCTTAAAAAGTTAAAATAGAACTATTGTATGATCCAGCAATTCCATTTCTGGATATTTATCCAATAAAAATGAAAACACTAACTGGGAAAGATATATGCACCCTCATATTCATTGCAGTACTGTTTACAATAGCCAGGACATGAAAATTACCTAAGTGTCCATCAACAGATCAATGGATAATGAAATTGTGTGCATGCATGGGCATGTGTGTGTATATACATATAGGAATATTATTCAGCCATAAAAAGAATTAAAATCTTACCATTTGAAACAAATGGATGTACCTTGAGGGCAATATGCTAAGTGAAATAAAGTCAGACAAAATACCGTATGATCTCTCTCATGTGTGTAACCTTAAAAACAACAAATTGGTAGTTGCCAGAGGAGAAGGGTGGTAGATGGGAGAAATGGGTATAGGGGCCAAAGGTTAAATTTAAAAAAGCCTGAAGCAATGGGCAAAATATCAATGTTCAATACTTTCCATTGTGTTTTTAAAAAAAATATTTAGAGAAAGAGAGTGTGCGCACACACGCAACCCCAGGAGTAGCAGAGAGAGGAGGACAGAAGATCCAAAGCGGACTCCATGCTGACAGCAGCCAGCTGCGAGCCCAATGTGGGGCTTGAACTCATGAACCACAAGATCATGACCTGAGCTGAAGTTGCACACTCAACCGACTGAGCCACGCAGGCGCCCCTCCATGTGTCTTATTGCAACCATATAATAACCACTTAAAAAAAAAACAAAACACAACACTCAGTAGATTTTCATATATACGTGTGTACGTCTGCTTGTTAGCAGATCTTACAGACTGGCCAAAAGTTAGTTCACAAAAGTATTTCCTGACCTCATCTATTGGCAATGTCTACCTGAAAGATTATTCAACATTCAAATTAAGATTAGTATATGGAGCAAAAGAACAATATAGAGAGGCCTATGAAAAGAGAGTGCAGAAGGAAAAATGCACAATGCTCAAAAAAGTCAAGGCAAGAAAACATTTTAGA